TGTTGTCCCTTGAAAGCTGTCGCGGGTCTCGACCCTGAAAAGTAGTTTCCACTGACTTTGCATTATTTCATGTTTGTTTTCAGGACTGCTGCTAGCGTTCATAAGCAGGTGACTTCCTTCGTCACGGAGTTGTCTGATATTTTCCGATGGGAGAACCCTATGAAGTCCGCTCAAGTGAGTTGTGTTGTTTTTCCCCAATGATGGAATGAACGTTTTTCCTCAGGTCTTCGCCGTTTATGTGATGGCTCTCAATTTGGCTAACTTCATGGGTTTCCGTTTCCTCTTCTTCATCACCGTCCAGGTGTTGTTCCTGTCGACCCCCGTGCGTAAGTTCATCACCAGAAGGGCTGCCAAGGGCTGCGTTATCAAGAGTTTCTATCACGACACTGTGCAGCCCAAGATGTGCTGTGCTAAGTCCAAGGCCCAAGAATGCTTTGCTAAGCTACCCCATACATCTATCTGTGAGCTCAAGTCCTGGGAGAAGCCTCAGGTCTCTGCTGCCGCCCTCGTACTTGCTAATGTTGCGGTGATGACGGTTTCGAGTGCTCTTTGCATGGCAAGCGACGTCGCTATCAAGCTCGTCGGGTGCGCTTTGGTGCTGTCGTTCGCTGCCAAGTCGTTCGGCGTGAACATCCCTAAGTGCACTTATCCTGCTAAGTGTGATGGTAAGGAGTGTGAAACCAAGCTCGCCACCGCTGTGACCTGTTTCCAGACTGTTATGGGACATGTACGCCAGATTGTTTTCTGGGAAGTCCCTGCTAAGAACGTTAACGTGATACTTGTACTCTATGTATTGTCGTTCGCGCTCTCTTTCTTTGGCTTCACTGGTCTCGTTCTACTCGTGTTGAACTGCTCCAGTCTGCGTCCACTGATTCAGAAGCAACCGGTCTATAAGGAGAAAATAGAGCCCGTGTTTGCTAAGGTGTCGGAGTCGCTCAAGAAAGCTGAAGCCAGGGTAGCCAGTATGATTGAGCGCGTGCCGAAGACTAAGGCGGAGTAAACACTGTTTGTATCACTGGTATCGCCGGTTAGTTATATCTATTCATACTGTATAACGCCATTTTCTTGTATGTGTCGTGTTAGACGTTTAGTTCAATTTACGGTATGCTAGTTGTGGTTATTGAGTAGTTTGAGTGGAAACTCACAGGTGGATTCGTTTCATAGTTGTGGGAGTGTAGAAAGACTGAGGTTAGATAGTAGCAATTTATTTGCTGCTATCTAACCACTATCTATGTGGCCACTATTCGTAGAGGATATTGGCAGCATGTTTTAGTCGGTGTTGGAGTAGGAATATATGTCTGCTTTCTTTAGCTGAGCTCAGGAGTTTCCTCGCTAATTATAGAGGTTTATACACGACGCGAGAATTGACTGGATTTCGATGGGTGTGGATAGTTCGATCAATATTTCGGAAAATTCCGACTCACGAGATGGTGATTTTCGATACTAGATGTTTTTTGAGTGAAATTTTCAATCAACGTAGTTTTGTCTTGCACTTAGTTGCTTACACAGCCTGTGTAACAGGCTGTGTAAGCAACTGAAAAAGTGCAAAACCCATTTTTGATCACCCTGTGTAACACAGGGTGATCGAAAAATGGGTTCGCCGCCCGAAATTTCAACCAGCGCATGTGAAATTCTAATGATGAATATCAGAAAAACTCGGGTAAAATTTGATCACCCTGTATTATGGGGAATATGAATGAGAGCAGTGCGAGAAAATATGCATATGGTCAACTACATGTGTTGGCGAGCCAACGTCTGAGCCTGTTGCTACACGACGTGGTTGTTTGGTGGATCGAGGGAGTATTTAGT